AAAAAAAAATCCTGACTGCGGACCATCCATGATTTTTTTAATTTTCGCCTATATTCGGTCAAGCCCGTCGAACATCCGTGTAAATAATTTTTTTTAATGTTCGCCCACATTTGATCACTGAAAAAAAATATTTAAAAAAAGTGGGTCATCTTAGGACCAATAGATTCTTCCCACTTTTCGCAATCAATTAACCTCCAAATTTTATACACTAAGAATAGATTTCTTTTCTTTTATTTCTTTAATTTATCTAAATATTGACCTAAGGAATTATTAAAATTCATGTGACAATTTTAGTATATAATCGCGCATATGGTTATATTTATTGTTATCATATAATTCCAATTTGATTCTCACCTAACACATCAAACCCCCCACGGAGCTGCCGCATCACCCGCTGGGGGGTGGCCAGAGGCCACACATCATTTCTGTGTGTACACCTCATTAGTACAGCTCAATTATTTTTTTTTTTTTTTTGTCAACAGAATGCAAAAACAACAACAACAAATGAAAATACCGCTTCTATTGTTAATATTAACTTAAATAATTGACAAATTGGAAATTGTTATGATAAACGTTTGATTAAGGATAAATATAGCGGATCGTAGTATATATGGCATGCACAACAATATATACAGTGGAATCTCAAGAATTCGTTAGGGGCACCTGGGGGCAAAGCTATTATTTTTGAATTGAACTTCTGAATTTAAATCGAATTACAAATAAAATGATTAATTTTCTTATAATTTTGATTTAATTTGGAGTTTTTATCGAGTTCCTACTGTAAATAGCAAAGAGTACGGAAATTATTATTGAGGGCTGACATTATTTACCTTCACTTCTGTGAGAGCAAATTTTATTTTTTTTTTGTTTTTGTTGTTAGTAACTTTTAACTGTTTTTGTAAAATTTTTTAATATAAGACCAAACTTTTTTTATGTTTATAAAGATTCAAAACAAAAATAAATGACATATTTTTCAAAACCTTTTTTACTCGTTTCGTTGGAATTCAAAAACAGGCTGTTAATATAAATTTTATTTATTTATAGCATTGCTCTACTTTTTTTAATTTCGTTATTCAAATTTAATTACGATATGTTCTTTCAAAAAACAAAAAAAAAAATTAACTACCGAAGAGAATGGCAAAAGATTTGAAGAACACAACCGGTATGACTTAAACAAAATCTTGCACACATATAACAAAGCTATGAGTTATTACAAACAAACAAACAAACAAAAAAACTGTCATAAAGATAATCACACCAATTGACAAGATGAGGAAATAAAAATTAGAAAGCTACAAAATTCTGTTCATATGTGCGGAATTATGGCCTCCTCCTTCATAATTCAGTCATCCAGCCATCCATCTATCAACCTTGACAACAAAAATTCGCTTTTTATTTATTTACGTGGAAGTATCCATAAAGATTAAATGCGGATCAAAAGTTAACTTAAAAACAACCACGTTGTTGTTTTATGACTCCAGAAAGAAATCTTTAGTAGAAAGTAAATACAGGGGCAATTAACCAATTAAGATACCTCCCCCGATGCTATTCTTTGTTTATATAGTTTGGGGGGGCATAAAATCTGATCGACATCACGAGAAAAAAATATTTCGATTTTTTTTTTAATTAACGATAAGGATTTAGAGGGTGTGATCTGGATTTATTATCATAAGTGGTGCCTTGGAAATACAACCTAGAGTAGTTACACTAAAAAATATTTTTATAAAAATCCACGCGTCTTAAATCTGTAAGGAAAGTTGTAAAGTCGGACGGGGCCGAATATATATGATACCCTTCACCACTTTGGGTATATTGGATACATGGAATCCTAAGAGACGTCACATTTTTGAAGGACGATTAACATGAAATTAAACATGTCATTTTACAACCTATACTAAATTTTGGTCAGATATAGATTTGCTTTTTACAATGGGACAAAATTATTGGTCTGTTCCCGTACTGCAAGAATCTACTACTTTTTACTACGATAACGAATTTTCCTTTATGATATCGAAGAAAATAGTAAACTCGAGTAGATTCTTGCAGTACGGGAGCAGACCAATTGTAAATAAATTTAAAGCAAAATATCGAAATCTAAACCGATTTCATCGAAACTTGTCACATGCTAGGTTACACTTACTTCACTATGTCTTGTGCATTCGGCCACATTATGAGTTCTTCATTTACTTCTAAATCCAAATTTCGTGCAAATCGCAGGATATATAAGGACTTTGGTGCACCATTTACCTTAAACCGGATGAAAATATATATGGGAGCTATATCTAATTCTGGACCGATTTTCACGAAATTTAACACACATAGTTCTAGACTTAATTCAGTACCCCAGGCAAAATTTCGTGCAAATCGAAGGATGTATAGGGACTTTGGTGCACCATTTACCGGATGAAAATATATATGGGAGCTATATCTAATTCCGGACCGATTTTCACGAAATTTAACACACATCGTTCTATACTTAATTCAGTACGCTGTACCAATTTCCGTGCAAATCGAAGGATATATAGGGATTTTGGTGCACCATTTACTTAAAATCGGACGAAAATTTATATGGGAAATTTAACACACATCGTTCTATACTTGATTCAGTACGCTGTGCCAATTTTCGTGCAAATCGAAGGATTTATAGGGACTTGGTTGCACTATATACCTAAAATCGGACGAAAATTTATATAAAATCGGATGAAAATATATATGGGAGCTATATAAATCTGAACCGATTTTCATGAAATTTAACATCCCTCGTTCTATACTTATTACAGTACGCTGTGCCAAATTTCGTGGAAATCGAAGGATATATAGGGACTTTGTTACACCATCTACATAAAATCGGACGAAAATTTATATGGGAGCTATATCTAAATCTAACCCGATTTTTACGAAATTTAACACACATCGTTCTATACTTATTTCAGTACGCTGTGCCAATTTTCGTGCAAATCGAAGGATATATAGGGACTTTGTTGCACTATTTACCTAAAATCGGACGAAAATTTATATGGGAGCTATATCTAAATCTAACCCGATTTTTACGAAATTTAACACACATCATTCTAGACATAATTCTGTACACTGTGCCAAATTTCGTACAAATCGAAGGATATATAGGGATTTTGGTGCACCATTTACTTAAAATCGGACGAAAATATATATGGGATCTATATCTAATTATGGACCGATTTTCACGAAATTTAACACACATCCTTGTATACTTAGTTCAGTACGCTGTGCCAATTTTCGTGCAAATCGAAGGATATATAGGGACTTTGTTGCACTATTAACCTAAAATCGGAAGAAAATATATATGGGAGCTATATTTAAATCTGAACTGATTTTAACAAAACTTCGCATACATCAATCTGAACATGATTCAGTACTCTGTGCAAAATTTTGTACCAATCGGACAAATATTGTGAGTTTGGTGTATCATTCACAAAAAATCGGACGACTCTATATATGGGAGCTATATCTAAATCTGAACCGATTTCAACAAAACTACGCACACATAAGCATGGACCTGATTCAGTGCGCTGTGCAAAATTTTATTCTAATCGGACAAATATTGTGAGTTTGGTGCATCATTCACAAAAAATCGGACGAAACTATATATGGGAGCTATATCTAAATCTGAACCGATTTTAACAAAACTTCGCAGACATTAGTCTGGATCTAACTCAGAACTCTGTGCAAAATTTTGTCTCAATTGGACGAATAGTGGGAGTTTGGTGCATCATTCACAAAAAAATCCGACAAAACTACATATGGGAGGTATATCTAAATCTGAACCGATTTCAACAAAACTTCGCATACATCAGCATCAGTACTCTGTGCAAAATTTTGTCTCAATTGGACGAATAGTGGGAGTTTCGTGTGTCATTCACAAAAAACTGGACGACTCTATATATGGGAGCTATATATAAATCTGAACCGATTTCAACAAAACTTCACAGACATAAGCATGGACCTGATTCAGTGCGCTGTGCAAAATTTTATACCAATCGGACAAATATTGGGTGTTTGGTGCATCATTTACATAAAATCGGACGAAACTATATATGGGAGCTATATCTAAATCTGAACCGATTTTTTCCAATTTCAATAGGGTTCGTCCTTGGGCCAAATAAGTGAACTGTGCCAAATTTTATCCAAATCGGATCATAAATACGACCTGCACTTTGTTAACAAAAATACATTGACGGACGGACAGACGGACATGCGTAAGTCGACTCAGAAAGTGATTCTATGCATTTTCACAAAAGGAACCACATTCCTTTTGCCCGTTACAAACATATGCACAAAGACAATACTCTGTACCACAGTGTGGTGAGGGGTATAAAAATCCACACCAAAATGTATGGCTTGGAAAAATAACAAACTATGGTTTTGAAAAAAAAATATTTGTAAGATCGAAAAAATGTTTAAAATATTACAGGCCTATAATTTATGCATTAAAAAACTTTATTTTAAAAATTGGGTTTTAAAATTGTTCCTTATCTAATTATCTAATATCTACAAATAATATAAAAAGATATGCTAAATATTAGCCCATTTTTCCTCTCTCCCTTTTGTCTAACAATTTAAAAATAAATACCATTACAAATATTAAATTTAATTTTATTTACTCAATATCTGTAACCAAAAACAACAATCATTTGTTAGCTGGTGGTAATGATGCTGATTTGCGTGTCGTTAATGCAGTTCGTGTTCGTTGTTTTAAATAACTTTAAAATGTTAATATTATTATTTGTTGTTTTGTTTCGCCTTATTATTCCAGATCAATTGCTGATTACGTCTGACCATCATCGTTACCGTCCGCCCTGGCAGTTGTGCGTGTTTTTCGCAAATTTTGATTTAGTTTGCATGGACGACTGTATTTCAACACTGTAGCTGCAACAATTTATGTTTTAATTTTTTGTTGTTGATGTTGTTAGTATAATTTATGAAACAACATAAGAAGTAGAGAAAAAAACAACATCAAATATGGAAAAGGAAAATGGCCAGCATCAATTGGAGGCATCAACATATGATCCGTAAGTATTGAAAAAAATGAAAACAAAATAGATGAAATAAATTATAAAATAGAAATAAATTAAATAAAAATTTGAAACATTAAGGGTACCTCACATTGGGCGCCATCACAAAGATAATAATCACAAAAATGCATTTACATATTTGAACATTTTTAGTTAAATGCTACAAAAAGCTCGGTTATATCACGTTGGGCGCCATTGCATACAAATTCTAAAGTGTTATGCTCAGCATGAAATTCCAATATTTCCTTCCATTAATTGAAAATTGTAAAGGAAATACTTACGAGACGTTAGTAACTTTTCAGTGCGGTATTATGTTGTTCGCTAACTATTCACTGGCGCCCAACGCAAATCAAATGTATATCGCTCATTTGCTGCAAGAGAGATATAACTCAAAAAAACGTGAAAACTTAAAACACATTTTCTGCAAAATCGCTTTTTTTTTGAGTGCGATATGTTGGTTTTAAAAGAAAATTTCAAATGCTTCCTCAGATTAAGATACACAATAAATGGAAATTGTATTCACATCGTTAATTCAGATATAGAAATAACTAGGTAGGGACCTAATTAGACAGATTGAAAAAAGTCAATATGCCTTAATGTTGGGCGCCATTTTCCACGAAAAATAATCAGTTCTAAGAAAAAAATCTATTTTTATAAACGTTTTCAGCGTTGGGCGCCATAGCCTATGCGAACATAACAAATAAGAAAATATTTCTTGCCCCAAACGCTACAAAAAATCTGAATCAGTTCACACGTTCGGCGTCATCTTAAACGTAATCCTAGAAATCAATAGCGATGGACCTCATAAAATTAGACAAATTGAAAATAGTCAATCTGTATTTATATTGGGCGCCATTTTCTACGAAAAATAATTTAATCTAAGAAAAAATCTGGTTTCTAAATGATGGCGTCGGGCGCCATTGCCTATGTGGTCATATCAGTTCGAATTGTAACTAAATTCCAGATTTTTTATTAAGTCGGGCGCCACTCAACCTTAAAGTTAGGAGATAAAAATATTTATCCATAGTGGACGCCACAAAAAATTGAAGATTCCATAAGATATAAATATTGCTAAGTGAAAATATACTACAAATTGGATCGGAAACAGTTCCTACCGTTGAGCGACATCATTCAGGCTACACCTGCTTAAATTTCACGTTGGGCGCCATTGTGGTAATAACAAAAGAATAGAGTTTAAAAATAATAAAAAAACAGTATAATGTTTTTGAAGGTATATGAGTGGACCGTACTGAAAACTTATTCGATTTATGGTGCCCCGTATTGGGCGCTCATTTAAAGGAGCCTACGGAGACTACTTTCTTCTAGCATTTACAATTTATTAATGCCATTCTGAAAATACTTCTTTATATGGCTTTAAGGAACCTATAAAGACTCCTTTATAGGTGTCTATAAAGAATCCTTTATAGGTGCCTATAAAGGAGTCTTTATAGGTGCCTATAAAGGAGTCTTTATAGGTGCCTATAAAGGAGTCTTTATAGGTGCCTATAAAGGAGTCTTTATAGGTGCCTATAAAGACTCCTTTATAGGTGCCTATAAAGACTCCTTTATAGGTGCCTATAAAGACTCCTTTATAGGTGCCTATAAAGACTCCTTTATAGGTGCCTATAAAGACTCCTTTATAGGTGCCTATAAAGACTCCTTTATAGGTGCCTATAAAGACTCCTTTATAGGTGCCTATAAAGACTCCTTTATAGGTGCCTATAAAGACTCCTTTATTGGTGCCTATAAAGACTCCTTTATAGGTGCCTATAAAGACTCCTTTATAGGTGCCTATAAAGACTCCTTTATAGGTGCCTATTGAGACTCCTTTATAGTTGTACATATGGACTTATTTATATGAGCTAAATACTATTTTATGGGAGAATAAAAATACTCCTTTATAGGAGCCTATAAATACTTAATTTTAGGAGGCTATGAAGACTCCTTCCTAGGCTACTTAATGGAAACCTATAATGACTTATTAATAGATGCATATAAGGACTTGTTTATATGAGCATTAGACTATTTTATGGAAGCCAAAAAAACGCACTTTATGGGAGCCTATAAAGACTCCTATATAGTAACCTAAAAGTACTCCTCTGAAGACTCCTTAGAGGACCCTGAGAAGACTTCCTTATATGAACTATAATAAATCCTTCATATGAGCCTATAAAGACTCCTATATAGGAGCCTATAGGTGCTTTTTAGGTGCTTATAAAGGTTCTCACATAGGAACTTATAAAACTCCTTTGTAATAATCACCATGATCATTCATGATTATGCTGGTACAGTTTAAAAACGTAACGGAAGTTCCAAAGTCACACATGTTGATAAATAGCCTACTTTTATTGATGGAATTTTCTCTGAAGTGTCCATTTGATTAGTCCATTTTTTGCATTTGCATCCCTACTCTAAATTTACGGCATTGTTAATTTGCCTGCCCCCAGATTAGCTTAAGTGACATTAATTTGTTGAACCGGCACATGCCACCAATAATAATGACAATGACCACGAAAATTGCCTACATTTACCGGCTCGTGTTCTATTAATCAAAAAAAAAAAAATGTAGATGCACACACGCACTTTTTTTTTGCTCAAACGCCTACGTAAATTGGTGTTTGTGTTTTTGAATTCTAAAGACAAAAAAATCTCGTTTTTTTTTCTTTAAATTAGGTAATTGAATGTCAGTCAGTCATTAACTTGCTAAGAAGATAAGTGATGTTTTGATGATGAGTTATCACAAATTTCTAGGTATGGGAGCATGTAGGCTGGTGGAGGGGTATGCGGGTGTCGAGATCATAAATGTGTGCTAATGCTGATAAACTTTCTGTAGATCTCTTATCAGAGATTGCCTTCAATGAAGGTAATATTTTATATATTTTTTGTTTTTTTTTTTTTTTTTTTTTTTTTTTTGGGAAACGGAAAAGTTTTTTTTCTTCATTTTTGCAAGGTAATAATGGAAAAAATGAGAAAAAAACAAGTGACTTAACCCCAAAAAACAAAACTTTTTGTGTAATGATAATATGCGATGGTAAACAAAAAGTGCAAATTTTGATAAAAAAATGTCCCTTCCTAATTGTATTTATCTCATCCACGGCAATGTGAATAACAAAATAAAATGATTTTGAGTGTTTTTTATTTTATTTATTTTTTTTTTTTACAATTTGTTTCCTAGTTCTTAATTGTTTAAATAGGTGAATAATAGAAAAAAATGACTGTGTGTGTGTTTTCTATGGGGGTTTCTTTGTTGTTAGTTTCACTTAAGACAAGAGGCTTGGCCCCAAATACATTGGAAACCGGATTGACGTGTAATTTTTTTGTTTGTAAGTGAATGCAAAAGAATTTTGAAAAACGTAAACACTTGCATAAGAATGGAAATGTCAAATGTTACAAATTCATAGAATATATTCTTGATTTAGAAGCCCGGGTAAAGGTATTTTATCTAAAGTAGAAAATTTATCGAACGAATACAAATGCAATTGCTTTTGGTGAAAAATATCTCCGAAGGGGATTTCAGATTCAATAGGACCCATGGATGCTAACTGAAAGGTCTTGTAGTTATAAATTATCTACTTGGGATCATATAAAAGCTCCTTTGTAGAGATCTATAAATACAGATGTATGGAAGCCTTTTAAGAAGACACGATAAAAGTTTAATATCGTAATAAGATTCTGTTATACATGTTGGCCGCCATAATGACTGTGTAATATAATTATACCCTACACAACTATGTTGTCAGGGTATTATAGCTTTGTACAGCACCAAGAGTTTGTAACGCCGTGAAATATTGGTCCTAGACCCACCTTTAAGTATACCGATCGTCATATCCTGACTAGCTGAGTCGATGTAGAAATGTATATCCGTCCGTCTGTCCATTATAATTTGTAAACACGGCCACAGTTATGGACCAATTTTCACGAAATTTTGCAGGTAGGATGGGTTCTGCCCAATCAACACCCCTATTGTTTTTGGTAATGATCGGTTAATATTTAGGGGATGAAATGGACTAAATGCTTCATTTTTTCGGATTTTCTGGTCGCTCTAGAAGCCGCAATTATGGTCCGAAGATTGCTAAATTTTACACGGAGAAGAGGATCGGGCCAAAGAATAAGCATGCCAGTTTTGATAAAGATCGGTCAATATTTAGTGGGTCAAATGGACCCTGACTTTTGTGTGAGAAATGACAAAATTTGTATTCTATGGCGTATATTTTTATTCCTGAAGGTCATAGACCCGAGAAGTTGAAAGTATATCCAAGAGGATTGGTTGACCTTTAAATTGATACTAATTATATTGTCGTATGTACTCGGATGTGGGAGTTACACTAAATATTTACAGGTGCAAACGTACTCAGACATTATTTAGTAACCAATTACCACACGAGAGGGCGGAAATATAGAGCAGATCGCTTTGATTTTTTCCATGAGGATCCTGGTATGGTCAAGGGCAACGCCTATAAGTTTCGATGATGATCAGATTATAATTATGGGATGGAGTGGACCGAATACTTATATTTTTGTGTTTTTTCAAGTCGACGCTAATAATAGGCAGAACATCACAACATAACTCATGGTGAAGGGAATCTGAACAATTAATTAGAAGGATTGTATTGAATATGAATAGTAATATTCGGAAAATATGTCAGTGTAAGGAAGAGGTGCAAATATCACGAAATATTGCCAAGGCTCGGAATAAACATCCGCAGAAAGTTAGAGTTCCGTTCTAGTTGTGTAGGATATCGTATGGTCGGCCCCGTCCGACTATACTGCTCCGCTCACAGGTTAAAAAATAAACATAGACATAGCTGAGTTCTTTGGAATATCACAGAGAAGAAGATCAGATTACATTTTTCATGTGACAAATAAGATAAAAACTGGTTAATTTTATATTGTCCCACGTTGGGCGCCATTATGTATTCTCTTTACTAAAATGTCGTTTTAGAAGGCCTATGACTGACATAAGAGTGGATTTTTAAAGAATTTTTCTAAAAGTTTGT